GGAGTTGATGAGAACCCTTTCCCAATAATTTTTTTTTTTTTTTTTTTTTATTCAGCATCAGAACAAATTTGAAAATAAGTTTTCTAATTAATAAAATTCTCAAGGGGGAACAAATTTAAACTTTTCAGAGCTAGGAAAAACTGTCAAGAGGAATTTTTGCCATTTTTGAAAAGGATATCCTGACTTATAACATTAACATGGAATGCAAAAGAAAAGCAACAGTTTGGGAGTTCAAACCACAGTTTTTAAATTGTTCCACCCAAACAGCTGCCCACAGGAGCTGTCTGTGTGCCAGGCAGAGGGAGCAGACCAGAGAACTCTGATCAGGAGATGTTCTGGGCTCCTCACCTCCTGTCAGCCTATTTCTCTGCAGAGGGGGATGGAGCCTATTTACAGCCTATTTCTCTGCAGAGAGGGGTCTCTGGAGCCTGTAAATCTGTTTAAATATCTGATGCTGGAACCCCTGAGGCACCTCCACACCCGAGCCAGGCTGCTCCACCAGGGGAGAGGATGTCAGCTCAGAGCACTGCAAGCAGGGCAAAGAGAGCCCAAACATCCCAAACATCCCAATGCTCACCCTGCTGGTGCACCTGGGATTGCCTCTCTCATGCACACACCCTTCCCTTGCTGGGGAGAGAACAGAATACTTGGAAAGTTCCGATTAAATTTCAATAATTTATTTTTATTTTAAAAATTTTAAGTAAAACCCAAGAGCTATTAAAATCACAGAGTGGTTTGGCCTAAAGTTGGCTCCGACACCCCCAGTTTATGGCAGGGACCCCTCCCGCTTGCTCAAAGTCCCATCCCACCAGGGCACTTCCAGGGATGGGGCACCCACAGCTTCTCTGGGCACTGCCAGGGCCTCACCACCTCAGAGGGAGGAATTTCTTCCCAATGCCCCATCTAAACCTGCTCCCTTTCAGTTTAAAGCCATTCCCCTTTTCCTGTCGCTCCATGTTCTTGCCAGGAGTCCCTTCCCAGCTCTCTGGCGCTGGAAGGGGCTCTGAGGCCTCTCTGGAAACTTCTCCAGGCTGAATAACCCCAACTCCCTCAGCCTGAGAGAGCCGGAAGTCAGCGTTAAACACTCATTGAGTATTGAATGGTAACAATTAGCAAAAATGTCTTTCAATGAGCAGCGAATTTGCTAGATTGGGGGTTGACTTTATCAAAGTCGGTGTGGCACAAGCAGCCTATGAATTGAGAAGATCCAATCCTGCCCTGAGCTCACTCCCAGGCTGCAGGCAGAGCCCAGGAGCTCAGCATGGCTTTGCTCTGGCCATGCAGGGATGTTTGAGGGCGGGATCACAGAGGAGAGCCAGTCCCACATCCCACTGTGCCCCTGGCCAGGAGCAAACCTGGGAGCCCCAGCCTGGCCCTGCAGCAGCTCTGCCCTCCTCAGGAGGCCCAGAACTGTTGGTAACAGCACTGACCACCCCCCTGTGCCCCTGCCCATCCTCTGTGCCCCTGCCCACCCCTCTGTGCCCCTGGCTCTGATAGCGGCAGCTCTGGGGTGCCCTTGGCATTCCAGGTAAGGACAGATCTCATCCCCTCCCAAGGGCTCCCCTCATTGTCGCAGACATCTTTTATGGAAAATCCTTTCCTTAGGATTTTTCCTCCTGAGAAGCTGAGAGGCCTCAGGAACAAAATGTAAACATTGGTTATCTGCTGCTGTGGAATGCAACAGGTGCATCTGTGATTGGTCTCATGTGGCTGTTTCTAATTAATGGCCAATCACAGTCAGCTGGCTTGGACTCTGTCCGAGACACAAACCTTTGTTATCATTCCTATTCTATTCTTGGCTAGCCCTCTGATGAAATCCTTTCTTCTATTCTTTTAGTGTAGTTTTAATATAATATATATCATAAAATAATAAATCAAGCCTTCTGAAACACCATCTCTTCCCTCATCCAAGAACCCCTGTGAACACCACCACGCCCTCATCCTGCCCCAGAGCTGAGTGCAGCCACAGCCTGCATGGGCACTGTGGGGTGACCCAGAGAGCCCTTTGGGATCCTCCCAGCCCTTCCAGCCCCGTGCCAGCAGGCAGAGGAGCCTCAGGGCAGGTTCCCTGTGTGCCCAAAGTGCCCTGCCTCTCTCCTGAGGCTGCTCCCAGTAACAAGGGAAGCCCCTGGTGTGCTCGGCTGGTTTGGCTGCCGACAGCTGCACAAAGAGCTTCCTGTGGGAACTCAGCACATCCCTTTGGATGTCCAGAGTTGCCGAGAACCTTGTCAGGGGACTTAGGGACCCTGGCATGCTGCCCAGAGCACCTGGGGATCTGATTTTGACCCTTGGAGCAAGTTGCCAGCTTTGTATGAGGACATGAAAGTCACACAGGTTTGAAAGTGTAATAACAAAATGATCACAGGGTGAAAATGTAGATTTTAGGGGTTTTTGTGTGGGGGTTATGGGGACAAGATGGACGAATCAGGCCATGTCTAGTCCTTCTTTCTTGTTCTTGTTCTCCATTTTCTGCTGTGATGTTGGCACTTTGGGATTGGTTTGGAGTAGAAGTGCACTGTCTAACATGGGTGATAGGTATTGGGAATTAAGTGTAAATATGTTATATGCAGTTTGTAGTACAAAAAGACAAGACTGCCTTGGGGGCAGTCAGAGTGCCTGTGGCTGCCCTGCTGAGCAGACCTAGGCAGGGCAGAAAGAAAATTTTATAGATAAGAATTAATAAACAACCTCAAGACCGAACAGTGAAGAGTCCAGACTCGTTCTTCAGCTGCTTGGGCCGAAGCAGAGACATCCTGCACATCTCAGGGCAGCAAATATCAACAGCCAACCCAAGAGCTTCCCACTGCCCACTGGGATGTCCCGTCACCAGGAGAGCAGCACAACCCAAAGAGCAAGCAGAGGAGGACAGCAATTCCCAGCCTTTCCTGGAAAGCTCTGGATACAGCAGCACCATCCCTGTGCTGTGCAGTTTCACCCTCTGATACGTGCAGAGAGAAAGTCAAGCCAGAAGACCCCTGAACTTCGTCCTTTTGAGATACTTTCCACCCTGAGAAATGCAGTGGAAACATCAGCAATGTCAGCAGGGCTGCAGTTTTCCCCTCCCACTGGCCACAGCAGTAGCCAGACCACTGAGAGGTTTCAAAGAAATAAACTTCCCTGAAGCAGATAGCACAAACCACAGCGAGCTGAGAGCAGCACGGGGCAAAGGAAACAAATGCTGGGGCTGCTGAGGAGCCCCAGGCACTGAGAGCAGCAGCAGAGCTGCAGAGGGACCAGGGCAGCCCCTGTGTCCTGCCTGTGGCAGTGACAGTGACAGCCCCAGGGTCAGAACCCCGTGCAGCTGACACCAGGGTGAGCAAATGGGGTTTGGGGTTAATTTACACCACTTTGTTTCTTTGCCCTTCAGACCACTCAGGTGGAGCCTTTGGGGACAGACAGCAGCAATTCTGCTCAGCCACCAGTGCCCAGCTCCAAACTGTGCATTGAGATCAGCCCCATCCTGCTGGGCTGGGGCTGCCTGCTCTGTGCTGCCCACCCCACACCTCCCCAGGCCCCAGATCCTGATGTTTCCTGAGCTACAAAGCCTCATGGAGAGGGCCCTGTGCAGTGCCAAGCAGGCAGCAAAGAGGGATGATGGCACTGTCATATTTTCTGGAAAATCCCTTTGCCAGGATTTCTTCTCCTGGGAAGCTGAGAAGCCTCAGAGAGAAATGAAAACAATAATTATCTGTTTGCTTCTCCTGTGTTTTGCTGCTTTGGAATGTGGTCTGGAGATTGTTTATCCAACATGTGAATTATTTTTAATTAATGACCAATCACCATCAGCTGTGTTGGGCTCTGAGGAGTCAGTCAGAGCTTTCATTGTCATATTCTTGTTAAACCTTCTGTCTGTATCCCTCTCTTTCTTCAGTATAGTTCTAGTATAGCATTCTTTAATATAATATAATATAATATAATGTCATAAAACAACTAATCAGCCTCCTGAGAACATGGAGTCAGATTCTCATCTCTCACCTCATCCTGGGGACCCTACAAACACCACAGGAAGAGGCTCCCAGGTTTCTGTCATGCTGGAGAAGGAATGGGGCCCTGAGCCCTGATCACAGAGGCCTTGCCATAGCCCAGCACCAAATGAGGAGAGGACAGCACCACTCACTAGAAAAATATATATTTATCATCTGTGTTTTTCTCAGGTGGGAACATCCCATGGCAAAGCCATGCACTGACAGTGCCAGTGTCGCCAGGACTGGGGTGGCAGAGCAGCCCCATGGAGAGCCCTCATGTGCTGAAGGGGCAGGAGAGAGCTTGAGGTGCTGCTTTCACCTCCAGCCCCAGTGCCCTGCAGAGCCCATGGGCACCCCAGCACCCCAAATCCTGCTGTGTGCAGAGCCCATGGGCACCCCAGCACCCCCACACCATGGTTGCTCACACTGCCACGTCTGGGACACCCCCCAGGGCACTGCTGCTCCTGGCACCTTCCTTGCAAGGCACTTGGGATGAGTTAAATAAAGAGGTGGAGGAGAATTTCCTGGGCTGGGAACGGTCCATAGCTTAACAGAGGATGAACAGAGCCCCTGTCCCAGCCCAGCTGGCAGGAGGGACAGCAGTGCCAGTGCTGGGCAGTGCCAGCCATGGCTTAGGGGGAGCAGTCATTCACACTGCCCATCCCACACCACTGTGGTGCCATGGCACCACCCAGGCACCTCCTGAACACCCCCAGCTGTCCCCAGCAGTCTGTGCCACCACGGGGAGCAGCAGGTCCCACCATCTTCTCAGGCAGCAGGTAGTGAGTTCCAGCAGGGTCTGCCGCACGCCACATTCTGAGTTTGTTGGGTTTTTGCAAGGAGAACACGTGCAATTCTGTTCAGGCTGATGCAGCACAGCCCTGGTGCTTTCCCACTGCTTGGATCCCCTCGTGCTGAAGCCCAAACATGGCTTCTGGTGGGTTTGGTGGTGCCCAGGCCCAGGTGGTGCTCCCAGCCCTCACACATCCGTGTGGGTGTGTGTGTGTGTGAAGGGCCTGCCAGCCACGCTCCACTTCAGAGCTTAAACAAACCAAAGAAAGTCTTGGACTCCTCAAAGTTGACCAGGGCGATTTTGGAGACGTTGACGTGCAGGCTGTCCATCCTCCTGAGCCTGAAGAGAGCGCCCAGGTAGCTGCTGCGGGCCCACATCCTCTGCCCCGAGCAGAAGTTGGCGGCCTTGTCCTCCATGAGCACCAGGCTGCCCGGGGAGGCCGGGTTCCTCTTGTACACCACGTGTGCCAGCAGCAGCGGGCTGTCGCAGGCCGTGCCCCGGAACAGCACCCGCGAGTACACGAAGTACAGCCCCGGCTCGCTGACCCGCAGCCCCCGCGCCTCGTACTGCACCCCGCTGGTGTAGGCATGGCCAGAGCTGGGCTCCCACTCCAGCGGCAGCCCCTGCTGCGCTGGGTTGCCTGGAAGATGAAACAAGGCCAAAGAAAAGGTTGGGGAGTGGGTTTGGTTGGGTGGGTTTGGCTTGGATCACGCCCCACAGCACAAGGCAGGGTTCTCCTGTTGCGGTGTGATGTAATAGCCTGTCTCAGCTATCCCAGTTCCTTCCCCAGGTGTGCCAACAACCTCTCCCTTCCCCTCCCCTTGCTGCTGCTGAGTGCTGTCCTTCAATCTTGGCATTCCAGAAGGGCCTCAAGTGATTGGCAGAGTTCAAAAAATGCCTTACACCCCTTGAGGGACCATCCAGGTGTCATTTGTCCCCTGAGACTTCCCCACCCTTACCTGGTTGATGGCTCCCTACCCCTTCCCTGCCCCTCTCCCTGGGGTTAAAAGACACATTTCGAGGAGTTCTGTCAGAGCTGGTGCTGCATTCAGAGGCCTGTGGGCCAGAATAAAGCTCTGGATCCAAACCGTCCATCAGAACCAACTCCTTTCCTTCACCATCAGCTTAAAGCTACTCCACCAGAGCTAAACCTGAGCTCCTGCATGCCTGCACTTGTCCCAAGTGCCAGCTGCAGCATGCAGCTAGCCAAAGGTGTCTCTGAGGTGAAACACCATACAGCCAGCCGGCCAAAGGTGTCTCTGGGGTGAAATCACCACACACCCAGCCGGCCAAAGGTGTCTCTGGGGTGAAATCACCACACACCCAGCCAGCCCAAAGGTGTCTCTGGGGTGAAATCACCACACACCCAGCCGGCCAAAGGTGTCTCTGGGCTGAAATCACCACACACCCAGCCAGCCCAAAGGTGTCTCTGGGGTGAAATCACCACACACCCAGCCAGCCCAAAGGTGTCTCTGAGGTGAAACCACCACAGCTGCCGCCCTTGGTCAAGCAGCAAGGGTCAGATGAGCCCAGGCACGTCCCATCCAGCTATATTGGGATTTAACTCCAATATTCTCCAAGCTTTGTCTGCAGTGTGGAAAGTTCTCCTGGGTCTCACCCCTCAGCAGTGCCAGCCCCAGTGCTGCTCGTGCCCTGCACACCCCAAAAGCCAAGCCAAACCCAGCCTCACTGAGAGGCAAAACTGAGGGGGAGGTTTTGTCTGTGGAGCAAATTTCCACTATCAGAGCAGATGTGTCACCTGAGGAGAGCAGCAGAGCCTGCATGGGATGGGCTCCTCAGAACTCCAGCCATGGCATCCCCTGACCCCACCCCAGCTGCCATGGCACCCTTTGCCCCCCTCTCAGGTGCCATCTGGCCCCACCCCAGGTTCCATGGCACCCTCTGCCCCCTTGCCAGGCACCAGCCCTGCCCCCAGCACGTACCTGTGACATGGGCTGCCCTCCTGGCCTCCTTCCTGTGCCCTGCACAAAGAGAGGGAACATTGGCCACGAGCTCCATGGAGGAGCCAGCCCAGAGAGCAGGGGACACCTGAGACCCCATGCCCCTGTCCAGGCAGGCGCTGGAGCTGCCCTCAGGGTGGGACAGCACAGCTGGGGAAGCTCTGCCTGCCCTCAGTTCTCTCTGGAGAGAAGGGCCCATTCCAGTGACCCGGTGTTCGGAGCCCATCCACTCCATCCCTTCATTTTCCCCAACACCTACTTCATCATCTCTAATTTCAGAATCATTCTTTTCTTTTCTTTTCTTTTCTTTTCTTTTCTTTTCTTTTCTTTTGCCAATTAAATTTTCCTCTCTGCTCCCCCTCCTCCTTTACACTATTCCCCTATTTCTTTATCCAGCCCCCTCAAGAAATTCCGGTTTATTATTTATGTTCAGCCTCTGCTAAAGAAGCTGTGATCAGAGCACTGAGCATCCAGTTCAAATGAGCTCCCCTTCCCCTAAAGGGGAAAATTTATTCGTAGAGGAGTTGATGAGAACCCTTTCTCAATAATTTTGTTGGGTTTTTTTATTCAGTATCAGAATAAATTTGAAAATAAATTTTCTAATTAATAAAATTCTCAAGGGGGAAAAAAATTAAACTTTTCAGAGCTAGAAAAAAACTGTCAAGAGGAGTGAAAATTTCTCTCTGACTTGGCCATTTTTGAAAAGGATACCCTCACTTATAATAAATATTAACATGGAATGCAAAAGAAAGGCAACAGTTTGGAAGTTCAAACCACAGTTTTTAAATTGTTCCACCCAAATCGAAACTTTTTTGGGGGGTAAATCAAAACCATGTAAATGAAATCTAGGAAAATTGGCAGGTTCTTGTGGAAAGTTTCAATGTTGCTGGGTTCCTCCTGCAGACACGGACTCACCTGTGAGTTTCTGAGAGGATGCAGGGATGAGCTCAGCGCTGGCAGACTGGCAAGAGAGAAGAGGAACGTTGGTTTAGAGTGTGAGCAACGTTTGGCAGGGATTAAATGTGGGATTAACTCCATGGGGAGCTGCAAAGTGATGGGGAATACACAGAGAGAGAGCTGGAAGGAGCACAGATATCCTGACAGGGGAACAAGCACCCTGTTCCTCTGTGCCAGCAGCCACCGAAATGCCACCTTGGTGCCCCCTGGGAGCATCCCAGCCCATTCCAAGCGTTCCTTTCCCCCTTTCCCTGCGCCCAACCAGGCAAACCTCACCTCCCTGAGTTCATCCACCTCCTTCTCCAGGTGAAAAATCTTAAATATGCTCAGCCCCACTCCGGTGAAGGCCACCAGGATCAGCAGGAACATCACGAGGAAGCCGGCACTGTTCCTTTCCCCGCGTTCCCTTCCTTTGTTCCGCGGTTTTCTGCTCCGGTCGGGCACTGGCGGTGGGAAGGGAGCCGAGGGGACAGCGGGGGCACAGGGAGCCGCTGTCTCGGCACATCCATCCACCCAGAAGATGTGCGGGTAATAATTGAGGTTCTGCTGCACGGGGGGCAGCTCGTCCCCGCCGCGGCAGCCGAGCCCCGCGGCTCTGCCCCGCTGCGGCTGCATCCGTGCGCTGCGAGGGCAGGATGCTGTGCGAGGATGCTGCGGCTTCGAGAGGCTCCGAGCATCGGCAGCAGAGCCCTTTCCGGCCCCGCAGGACCCACCCTCCTCCCACAGCCCCGCTCCGGGGGCTCCCGCAGCCGCTCCCCACAATCCGCTGCCCCCGCAGGGCTGGGGAGCTGCAGGGAGGAAAAACCCCCCGGCACCCTGCACTGCGAGGGACAGACAGAGCCCTCCCCAGCAGGGGATGTGGTACCGAGCCCGTGGGATGAGGAATTAGGGATGAGGGATGAGGGATCGCTCCGTCCCCGCTCCCCGAGCATCCCTCCCTGCCTGTGAAAAATGCACGTGTTTCACGATTGACTTTTCGCAAATATTGAAATGAATGTAATGTGTGTTGTGTTAGGAAGTGATGTTGTATTAATTCTCTTAAGTAGTGTGGTAAATATAGTTTTGGGTTATAAAAATTGTTAAAATAGAAACGATGCTGTGTAGTATACTTTTTTTAAAGAAAGGACTTGCAGTGAGATAGCAGCCACAGGACACCTGAATCTTTCAGAGAAAGAGAATTTATTGCTCCATTATCAGAAGAAATGAACTTCTTCCTGCCTCGGAGGCGCTGCCAGGATTCAGAGGAAGAAGCTGACACTGACCAGACAGAATCCTGTGTTTGAATGGAATTTATGCATCATGGATGAGGTGTATTGAATATGCAACAGGCTGTTGCTTTTAAGGGTTAATCCTCTGTTAACGTGGGTCCTTTTTCGGGCTTGTGCTGCCCAGTAAAAGGTACCCGGCCATCCATAACGCTTAGTTTCTATTGTCTCATATTGTCCTAATTCAAATTGTTCAAATTATTATTACTCTAATTGTATTACTATTTTTATAACTATTTTATTACTATTAAACTTTTACAATTTTAAAAACAAGTGATTGGCGTTTTTCACACTGCCTTTCCCCACTCTGCAGGGCACAGCCTGGGCACAGACTGGGCACAGCCTGGGCACAGCCAGCTCCAGGACTGCCCTCCTGCCTTCCAAGGAAAAACACAGAGTCCAGACCATGCTGCACTGTTAAGAGCTCATTACAATATCCTAATGGGGAGAGACAGGGATATTTCCATTTTTCAATTTCCATTCCTCATGTACTGCAGATTTCTAAGTGGGGACGGTGAGATTTCCCCACAGATTTCTACACGTAAAAGTATTAGGAAAAAAGAATTAATAAAATAAAATTAAAATAATAAATTAATAAAATGATAAATTAAGAAAAATATTAGGAATACTTTTTTTTCACTCTACAAACACATGTTGAAGTGTATATTTCCATGGGGCAGTGTTAAAAAAAGGAAATGCTTGACACAAGAGCAAACCAGAGATTAGTCTCCTGTGGTTGCAGGAAGCAATCACAATACACAGGCTTTGATCTTGAACATCAAAACTGGGATCTGAGAAGGGCATATTTGAACCTTTGTGCACTTGTTTCTCCGAAGCAAGGGCTCAGCTTTGCCTGCAACCACACCAATAAATCAGACGTGCTGACAAAGTCTGGCACCACCAGACTCTCTGAAGATACTCTCCAGCCCTTTGCTTCAGCAGCAATCCACAGCACAGGTTTCAACAACCCCACCTGGCTCTCCCTCACACTGCAGGGTTTAAGAGACACAAAAGCAACAAAAATCCAACTCTGACAAGGTCAAGCTTGGTCACGCCTGGCCTGGCTCAGTCCTCCTGTCTGTCCCAGAGCAGCCACCCCAGGACAGGTCCCCATCCTCTCCCACAGCCACTACAGAGAGGGTAACACGGCGGCTTTTCCTGGAGAGGATCCACTTCCACATTTTTCTGACACTGTGTTAATGCCAACAGCTTGCTGAGGTGGGACTAGGAGAGAGTAGCAGCTTCCCTTAAATGTCACAAGTGTTCTTACTCCACACCCACTGCTTCCCACTTTCACAAAGATGCTTTTTAAAGGGTGGCAGAGAGGGAGAGGCAAGGGAACCAACTGAAGCCATCTCAGCTGCACCTGCTTTTTTGGGTGCCCTGCGTGGAGGCAAACCAAAAGTTGGGGCCATTTTACCATCTGAAATGCTCAGTGCACAGCATGCTTCCAGGGACCTCTCCCTCTGCTCTCCTGCTGTCACCCTCTGCTTTCCTGCCACCCCCTTCAGACACCACAAGATGCCAGGCACTGACTGGGAGATGGTGCCAGGCAGGGCTGTGTCTGCACAGCACACCAGGATCACAGAGCCTGGGGCTGCAAGGGAACCCTGGAGATCCTCCAGTCCAAACCAAAGCAGGTAGTGGTGCCTGCAGGCCCTGTGTTCTGCTGGCTCCCTGTGCTCAAACGACACAGGATAGGAACAGGACTGCTGAAAACATGGCACATCAATTTGCTGCAGGTGGGCACTTCAGCCAGGTGGATTTTGCTACAAGGCCTAGAACCAGAATTTACACAAGGCTGAGGCCTCCTAACTAGGACAGCTGGGCAGGAAAGCAGGGCATGAGAAGGACAGAAGGGGTGTCAGATTTGCCTCCACCACCCTAACCCCCTCTTGAACAGTCTGCACACCGTTTCCAGCAGCCCTGTTATGTCATTTGATCAGGAAGGAATATTTTCCAATGGAAACACCTTCCACAGCCCTCAGCAGAGAATTCTTCCCCTTTACCAAACCAAAAAAAATTTTACACAGGCTGCAAAAGAGGATTTGCTCAGAAGAACACTCTCCTTCCCCAGTTCACTCACAGAGAGGTGAGAGCTCTTATTAACAAGACAGATAATTATGTTAAAGTTGATGGCAGAGAATCATCCAAGAGTTTGTATCAGCAAGACTTAGGGACCTGCCTGAAACAATCCAAAGCGAGCAGGACTTGAACAATGATCCAGATCTAATACTTGACAGAAAATAAACCCTGAAACTCAAAACAAAAACTGAAGTGTGAACCTCTGTGTAGGAGAGGCTCTCACCATGTTTTGGACAGAGTCTCTCTGGAAGCAATTAACAAATATTTCCTATTACACTAATGACTAGTGGAAATGTTAAAAAGCAGCTCTTGAAAGCCAACAGGGCTGCAGGAATTACACCCAAGAGCAACTGAGAAAGCTGAGAATCATTCACATTCAAGAACACAATGAGGATTCAACATCATGAGCACAGGGAATTGAATCAGAATAAAACAAGGCAAGAAACAGAGGCTGCAGATCAAGCTCTTTGGGTAGAAAACAATGTGCTAGAAAGAAAACAAGTCTGAAGCTGAGAGGCTCCTCAGCTGGACATGATCTTCCAGCAGGGAAAGCCCACAGGCTGCAATGAGAGCTCACACAGCTCTGGGCATGGATCCTGCCCTAGAGATCCCCAGGAACCTATGGGGCAGACAGGATCCATGGGGCACAGGGGATCTATAGGGCAGACACTCCTGGAACTCTCCACAAGGCTCTGCTCAACTCCAGAGAGGCTCTGGAAGAAAGTTGGACAGACAGGAGGTTCAAATCTGTCTGTTCAAGAGCAGATTGGCAGGGAGGGATGGACAGTGTGTGGAAAACCTGTGAAGAGAGGGATGATTTCCAGCAGCAGAGAGCTCTTAAATCTCACAGCATAAAAAGCCTCCCAAGGAGCCACTCGTTGTGAGCCAAATCTGAAGGAGTTTGAACAAAAAAATGGATTTTTGAGTGAACACTGCTATGGATGCTTGTGAGAGCTGCCTCCAAAGGGAGTGGGCCTCCCCCTGCTGAAGCCTCAGAGGGGTGTGGAAGGCACCAGAACCCACCCAGCCTTTGCAGCTAGCACCAACATCTTCATGTTGCTTTCTCTATTACGTATTTATCAACAGTTTGGTTTCTCACATTTCCTCCACAACCGCTCTCCTTGCTGGGAGCATTTGTTGCACATGTAAGCCATGGCAAGGACATTCAGATGTTCACACACAAAAACAGATTTTAAAGTCCACTTTTAACAGCCCTGGCCTGGCATTACAGTGCTTAATACATCTCTCTTCCAGGGAGCAAGGTGCTCTGTCCTCTCCTTCCCCTTGATTCCAACAAAAAGCCAGCAGCCCTGGATTCAGCAGAAGAGGGCTCTGAGCTGAGAGAGAACCCAAGGAGCCAAAGCAGATGAGAAAAAGAGTAACTAAAACATTACTCTGCTGCTTTCATTTCTTTTGTGCCTGTGGTAAGGGCAGGGAAATGAGGTGGGGTGGCTGTGAGATGAAGGGATCTATTCTGAGAACAGAGCAGCAGGGTCATTCCATGGTGCCACAGGACAAAACACAACAAGGTGCTGGGGCCAGCTGTGAGGAAGACCAAGAGAACATGCAGGTGTTGGGTTCCTGTCCCCCCAGAAGGGAGAACAGGCTATTCCCAAGGGAATGAGGGAATGAGAATTCCCAAGGGTCTCATTTCCAAGCCCTTCTGCAGGGTCTGTGCCCTGCCCCAGCCTCTGGGCACAAAGGCAGCCCCAGCCCTGGCTCTGCTGGCCAGGGGCCTGCTCAGTGCTTGACAGTTTAATTTCTTCTTGGGAGCAGCCAGTCTCAGCCCACTCAAGGCAAACCAACTGTAACTGTGTCATCACAACTCACAGAAGCTCCAGTAGCTTGCTGCTTTCTGTTATTTTTCTGGGAAAAGAGAAACAGCAGCCAGGGACTGCTGTTTGCTGTGAGCTCACCGGGGGCACCGCGGCTGGACGAGGCTCCAACCACATCTGACGGGGCAGAAAAACAGGGCAGAAAAACAGGCCCCGAGGTGGCAAACGCCTCCTTTGCATCTCTAGGTCCACCAGGGGCAGAGCTCAGCTCCTCTGCATTGCCTCCCAAGAGCTCTGTGACTCGATGGAAAGCAGCACAGCCAGGGCCAGCTGTGGCAGGGTCAGACAGCAGCGAGGCAGCAGCAGCTCCTTGGAAGCTTCTTCCAAATCCTTCCTGCTTAAACTAGAGAAGGGCAAGGTGAGTTTCAGCACTTTGACCTGTGGGCTGTCACAAAGGCCAGCAGCAGCTGCAGAGGGACACTCAGGGTTT